CTAAAATAAGAGATTCTTGAATATGAAGACTAGCTTTAGAAGCTATTGTATACAGGGTGATCACGTTAAGACTAGACAGCGTTTTTCTCGCAAACAGTAAACAACAGAAAAATATGAAAAAGGAGAAAGTTATATCTTCTTTTGCAAGCAATGTAATAGCGTATGCATTTCTTTTCTATCTGCATTATTTCTCAGAAATGATGGTGACATTCAATTCTTTAAATGGAAATTTTTTAATTCGTATACAACATAATGATCTCCAACGTCACACGTTTCCTCGTTCTTAAAATAATAATGCAGACGGATAAAAATTACGAACTTTATTACATTACCTGCAAAAGACAGTACATCTATTTCCGCTTTCATTTTGTTCTACTGTTTATTATTTGCAAGGGAAACGCTGACTAGTGTTAGGGTGATGTATTGAAGACACTGAGTGATCAATCGTGGTGGAATAAAAATGAAAGTAGGTGAAACGGGAAATAATAGCACGGCACGTGCTTACATCCATACTGTCCTGAAAATATTCACATCTCCTCGCACAATTCGTAACAGATGTCTGCACTTTGTTTATGTTTCGCTCCGTGGCAGAGTAAATCTTAACCTATTTCCCTTGAAATTATCCTTCCTTCGGAATAAAAGTTCTGTCCTTCTCCTCCTCATCCCCCTCATCCATACAATAATGTTCGATTCAATAGCACGCCTCGTATTTTACTGGGATTACAATGGAAGGCGCATAGAACTTGATTCAGTATTTCCAGAGTTCGTTTCCTCCAAAAGATCTCTCTGGCAGCCTCTCCCTTCTTTCGAGTTTGTTGAAAATTATGAGCTTTTTCTCAATGGAAGGCTCGATAGCATCCGGTCACATTGTAGCGTACGACAAAAATAATGCTGGCTTTCTCGTCCGATTTTAAAGTTGCATAAACTGAGCTGAATCCAGGAAGTCTGTGTTACGTGGTACATATAATGTGTACACGTTTATTATAACATTATGAGCATTCTCGTGGAGGTGATGTCTGAACAATTGTACTTTCTCGCATTAATTACCCTAAATCGAATTGAAAAAATTTAATTTAATTTCTTTTCAAATTAAATGTAATTAATTAATTAATTAATTTTTAATTTAAATTTCAATTTTCCATTGATCCGGTTTATTTTGATAAAATCAGTTAAATTAATTATACACAGAAATAGAAATTTATTGTATATTGATAAAGTTTGCCGAACGCTTTATTAGAGAAATTTTTATAAAATTTCTATCGGGGAGTATAAAAGGTATAGTAGGATAAGATGGTCAAACATGTCCTTTACCAAAATGATTTTTGATTGCACTATTTGTCAATTTATATCTCAACAAATTTTCAGGTCCTTATCCTCACCACAACGGTAATTACAGTGTGAAATTGAATTAACAGATTATGATTTATTTCTTCTATTTTACTCGATGGAAAATAATAACTATTTTTTCAAAATTTTTGAAAACTTCCGAATACTTAAAAATGCTAATTTTATATTGTATATGTATATTATTACAATAATAGTGTTTTCGTGTAGTTTTTAACCTGTATTTTTTTAGATCTTTTGAAGGGGACACACGTGAGAAAAAACATTAAAAATCGTCGAAAATTTGAAAAAATGCATTTTTTTTTAAATTGAAGTTTGTAAGATACAAAGTTTTGGTGAACTTCTGAAAGAGATCTGTCGCCGATCTAGATGGTGTAAATAATCATTGTTTATGTCGATTCCACTTAATTTCAGACATTAAGTGCCTTTCGACCAAAATCCACACCAAACAGTAACTTTTTTTTAGATGAAATGATTTTCCTTCAATCGCTGTTGGATTTTTATCTCCCCACATGCGACAATTGCGCTTATTGATGTGTCTATCCAATGTGAAATGAACTTTGCATCAACTGAACGATGTTCTAACAACCAATTAGCGAAATTTCTGCGTTGCAAATTGTCACTTCCTTTCAATTCTTATGTAAATTGAATTTTGTAAGCATTCAAATGCAAATCATTATTCAAAATTCACCACAAACTGCCATAAGAAATGTTCAATTCTCGAGAATTAAGAATTCAATACGTTCGAACGAGCTGTTTTTGATCTGTCAGACTTTGGTTTATCAGAAACACACAGATCCAGTTTCATCAAATTTAACCAAATTTTGAATTGTTTACTCAGATGGACGATTATGTACGCCGAAAAAATCACGTAATTTACGTTTTTTTTTATATTTGGGATCCTGCCATCTTCCCCCCTGATCCCTGTAAACACCATCTTGATCGGCGACGGGTCCCCTTCGAAAGTTAACTCGAAAATTAAAAAAAATGAGCCTAGTATAAATAAATTTGTTCGGGAACTATTGGGTTGGCAACTAAGTAATTTCCGATTTGTTCTATGAAATAAACATTTTTTTTTTACTTGGAATGAAGTTTAATCTGTAATGTATTTTCCATTTTGTTCGATGACCTTTTGCCATCTCTCTGACAACTTGAAAATTCCACGCTCGTAGAAAATCTGATCCTTTTCGGCCAAAAACTGAGTTAAGTGAGATTTTACAGCGTCATGATCATTAAAAGTTTTACCACGAAGGGAGTTGTCCAGGGATCGAGATAAGTGGTAATCCGATGGCGCGAGATCAGGACTATATGGTGGGTGTAACATCAATTCCCAACCAATATCCATCAATTTTTGCCGAGTGGACAAAGACGTGTGCGGCCTAGCATTGTCCTGGTGGAAAATGACACCTTTACGATTGACCAATTCTGGTCGCTTTTCCTTGACCACTGCATTCAATTTGTCCAGTTGCTAACACTCACGGATAATACAAAATAACATAATAATAATAATAATAATAATAATAATTTTATAATATAACATTTACGGATATCATAAAAATGGGAGTGAGAAACATCTATAACTGAAATCGGCAATTACTT